CTGCTAGGGGAGCCGCCAGAGGGGCGGGCCGGGGGCCGTCAGCAGCTCGGGGGGCTCCATCACCCGAGGGGCCCCAGTCATCGTGCCTGAGCTGGGCAAGCCGCGTCAGAGCCCCCTGACCTATGAGGACCACGGGGCACCCTTCGCGGGCCTCCTTCCCCGCGGCTCGCCCGTGACCACGCGGGAGCCCACGCCGCGCCTGCAGGAGGGTGAGTGGGTGGGCGGGGATGCCCACTTGAGGGACGGGCTCAGATGCCACCACTAGCTTAGGTCGGACACGGGGCACCTTTGGGCCCAGCCGCACCTGGGGTGCCTGCCTCTGTCCCTGCCTGGCTGTCGTCCTGCCGTGGTCTGCTCTGTAAACGGCTGCCTGGAGCCCGCAGATAAATGCAAATGTCCCAGCTCCTCCTGCAGCCGCCTATGGACATCACGCGGCCCCGAGACAGAGACCTTGACCCCGGGGCCATGGGAGCCTGCGGCCGGGTGCCCACCCCTCGACCACGCTCTTTGGCCCGCCCTAGCCCCAGTCCAGCACCCTTCCCATCAGCATGCTCAGCTCCTCTGCACTGGGCCTTTGCACATCACGGTCCCCTGCCTCAACGTCCCCGCCTTCCAGGTGCCGCTGGTTTCTTGCATCCTTCAGATGTTCGAATGTCACAGCCTTAGGGAGGCTTCAACCCCCTCTATCCCCGCCCCTTCCAGTTCAGGTCACGGTCCATGACACCTGAAGGGCCTTTATCCTTCTAAAGTCGTTACTTGTTCACGAGTCTGTCGGCTCCCCCGTCAAACGCCTGCCCTGGGGGGTTAGGATTTCTGTCCATTTGACTCACTGGGGTCACCCCAGCGTGCAGAACAGCTTGACGGGGGAGAGGCTGCGCGGGTGATTTGGAGTGATCGAAGGAGCAAGCGGCCTCGTGAACAAGTGAGAGAGTGAGGGTTCCTTAAGGTGGGCCAGCCGGAGAGGCACCTGTGAGGGCCCGGTGCTCGAGGCCCCGCGAACCCACCCTTCAGTGGTCTCCCGTGAAGTGCCCTGGCTGTGACTCGAGCCTACTGACACCCACTTGGCCCGTCCCCACAGGCAGCCTCTCGTCCAGCAAGGCCTCCCAGGATCGAAAGCTGACCTCGACGCCCCGGGAGGTCGCCAAGTCCCCACACAGCGCCGTGCCTGAGCACCACCCGCACCCCATCTCCCCGTACGAACACCTACTGCGGGGCGTGAGTGGCGTGGACCTGTACCGCGGCCACATCCCGCTGGCCTTCGACCCCACCTCCATACCCCGTGGGATCCCTCTGGACGCAGGTGACCCAGCCTCGGGGATGGGAGCGGGGGTCGGGACTACAGTGTCAGCCCAGGGAGTCCTCCGGCATCAGCCTCCAGTTCCCCTGCCCAGGGCAATCGAGGCCTGGACGCCGGGAGCCCCGGCGAGGCCATAGTGAACAGGCTGGGTTGGAGCACAGGTTCTCCGGGGAAGCTGAGGGATGTGCTAGGCTGGACCGTGCTGACTGGCCTTTCCCTGGAGGCCTTCTCAGTGCCCAGAGGCTAGCTCCAGTGTGCCTGGGAGAAGCTGGGTGCAGGGAGCGATGCCGATGGCAGCACCCTGTGTGCATCGGGCCGTTGTCCGCTCTTGGGCCCTGAGCTGTCTGCCCTGTGCTCTGGGAGCCATGCATGTGGGTGGGGCAGTGCCAGGACAGGAGGCGACCTGACCCCGGCCCCTCCTCCCAGCAGCTGCTGCCTATTACCTGCCCCGGCACCTGGCCCCCAACCCCACCTACCCGCACCTGTACCCCCCATACCTCACACG